AAATTACGCCACTGTATAGATGATATAGACAAAAGTTGAAGGATAATTAGGGAATGAAATTTAGGTTATCCTCTTAAAATTATATTAATAAAATCGAATATAGACTTATAATAGCCTCACTTACTGCACCATAAATTTATCTAAAGTACTTGTCGATAATTCAATACTTTACGCATAAGAAGTCAGAGATATCCATACTAAGGCGCACCATGTAAGGATCCTAATTATAGGGGACCACAATATTTCTGTCATTAATTATTAGTTTAGATGCATTGTATACAGAAGGACAAAGATTCTTTCTTATATTTCATTAAACTAGATGAGAGCTTGCCCCAGGGGGTTGTTAATGTCATCTTAAACTTATTATAATATTCTCTCTTCTAAAAATTCAACAGGATAAATTAAAATAAATTTCTTTTTTTTATTATTTCCAATAAAATTTAAAAAAAATAATGAAGAAATATCAAGAAAAATGAAAAAGAAAAAATTCCTACTAAATTAAAATTTTGCTCAAATCTATATTAAAATATAAAATACTCAAAAACAACCACAATGACATATTCACTATAAATTCTTAGAGGCTGGAAATCTTGATAAATATCACATCTTTTCTTAAGAATGGGTTTTTGAAGAATTTGTTGCAGGTTATACCCTATCTAAAAAATAAAAAAAAAAATAAAAATAGGGTATTTTGAATGTACAAAAAATTCGAGCCCGGAGTTAAAGATTAAGATACATATAAAACTTTGATCAATCTGAATGCACAATATTAACGAGTACAGGCTTAGGAGAATTATTGGGTTAAGGCGTCCTCATACTAGTCATGTATAATCCTTTCCTTTACTTATACTAATTCGACGTACCTGTATAATATTTCCCTTCGCAATGTTAATAAAATCATTCTAATCATAAGAAATTAATGTGCTAATTATACGAGAAATTAAAATAGGAATGAATCCTTTCGCATCTAGGTAAATTGTGGATGATTCTATTATTATCCTATACATGTTATTATATAGGTGTATTCATCCCCTCCTTCCGTATTATTCATACATCTTAAAACCATTACTCTCAATTCCTAAACTGAAATCTATAAGCCGGCAGTATTTTTATATTATTAGAAGAAAAACTAATGTACATGCATGCTACTATATTCTTTCCTAGCCTATAATCATGGAAATTGTTATCTATCCTTAATCGGATATATGTTTATTATCACCGAATGCGACGGCTCAAGGAAAAAATATCTAAATCTTCTACTTTGCGTTCTCTTGGCTTTCTAATAATAAAGGGGTTCTATGAATATTATCTGGAAATCCCACCTAAAAAGCATTTTATAATGAATACATAAAATATTATCCAAAAACTTAAGCTAAAATTATATCACAAAAAAGAGAACAACTTGTCCCACTACTAACTTCCGCAACTTTTTCATAAAGGGAAAAATTTAAAAAATTCGTATAACGGAAGAACAGGATCCTTCAGGATAGCAGCAAATTTCTACCTTGCCTAATACTTCCTACTTATAGTCTTTGGAAATTCATTCTGTGAATTATGAAATATTGGATCAACTCATAGCCTTTAGGTTTCCTTTCTTCTTTTTCCGTTTCCTCCTGTTCGCTTCCATACATAATAAGTGCATTATATGAAGATGCATCAGTACAATTTTAAAATGTAGAAATAGTATAAAGGTGATGATATATGAGAAATTCAATAAAGGACAGGAATATTTCCTATAATGGAATCTTCTTCCCCTTTTTCATTTATCATGGCGCCCCCTTCATAATTATGAAAATGTAATATACAGCAATGTATACTATTCTGAATATCCCAAAATTAAGACAGGTATGTTTGCTTAAGAGGAGTATAACCATTAACCAGAACAATAATAAATTAGGCCGTTCAAAAAGTAAAGGAAGAAAAATCACCTTATAGGTAATTTTAGAGAAAACATTGTTCATATCTAATTTGCATCTTTAACTCATACGATCTTTAATCGTCCTATACTTGTTCGTATGTACAATGGACGAAGGCTAAAATAAAGCATTACTGCTGTTTGTACTCCTGGGGAAAGATGTGTGACCACTCTGTGTCGATTCTGAGTAGAATTTGTAAAGGACGATAACTCAGAATTGCTTTACGCAGAGGTCTATGGGAGAAGGATATAAGAGTAGAGGTCCTTAAGGGCTCTAACGCTTATGAAAAAAATGGAATCTTTAAATTGAGACAGGTTATAAGTTATTGTTATGGTCTCATCTAACAACTCCACGGTACCGATATATTTATG